GAATTTAATTCTAAGTCGCACGGTGATACTTTTATTCAACGACCAAGCTTCGGAAGAATCTTATTTAAATTTTTTCGGTTACATAAGAGGAAAATGGAGATTTATGTAAAAATTCTTCCGAAGCTTGGCCGGTGAATAAAAGTATCACCGTGCGACGTAGAATTAAATTCTGAATCGAATGAGCTAATTTTCATGACCCGGCCATATTCTTGTAAAGAGTTTTAGGCTAAATCTTCATTTTTCGTGCTAACTACTTTGTGCTAGCTTCACACTGATATCCAACACAAAGGCCTATCATATCCACACTTTTATTAAATGTCTTCTTCCAAAGAAACAAATATTTTTCTAAATGGTGCAACTGGTTACATCGGAGGTTCGATTTTAACTGCTCTTCTTAATCATTCGAATGCTTCGAATTTTCAAATAACTGCACTTATTCGTGGTGCTGAAAGTAGAATAAAGAAACTCGAATTACTTGGTGGTGTTATTGCTCTTGTTGGATCAAACGATTCACATGATCTAATCGAGAAAGCAGCAAGTCAAGCAGATGTTGTGTTCCATACAGCGAATTCATCAGATGATCTTCCTTCAACAAAATCAATTCTCTCAGGTTTAAATCAACGAACTGAAAACAAGTAACGCAACGTAAGCCTTGCTAAACTCTCTACTGAAAAGACCACTTTTGCCCCATTAGTAGCAATCATTTTTTTCTAATAGATAGTTTTATAGATTATACTCTAATAAGAAATAGTCCTTAAGTATGTACCGAATTATATAAAATTTTCTTAAAAGGTTTCGAGTCATACTGACCGTATTTTCTCCTTAGAAGGTCAACAGCTGAACGTCTAGTCGTTCGTCGGCCTCCCTCCGGTCGACCACTCACGGCTAGCCGTCCCTGTGTTTAACAATAATCTACCACTCACTATCACTGCGGTTCTCAAACGAACAAACATATTTCGTTTCGACTTTGCGAGACAAATTACGAAACTTTTCGTAGATTCTCGAGAAACTGCTGAAAGAGAAGTAATTTCTAAATTGATATAAATTATAAGCAACGCTCAGTCAACAGATTCGCTGATCCTTTTCTAACAGAAACTTCAAGTTACTTTTTATTTAAAAAAGCTTTTCCCCCAAAACTCTTATTGTAGAAGATGGCTACACGGAAAAATGCATACTTGCACGTTCCAATTCTGGTCACTGGGCTATTTCTTTATAAGCATTTTCCTAAAGTTTCAGGACAAAAGAAACACATCTCTAGTTCTTCTCAAACTACTGCCAGCCTAAAATTCCACATTCGCATTAATGATCTTCTTGTCAGATGTATTTTGCAAAAGGTTAAACTGCGAAGAAGACTTTGTTTTCACTGATGCGACAAATTATGTGATTGTTTTTCAAAAGATCTCAATTCGTATTTATTAAACACCTAATAAAACTAGCATACCGGTACTTAGTCGTTCGTCGGTCTCTCTTCGGTCGGCCACTCACGACTGGATGATCTCATATTCATTTTTGAACCTATACTATCCTACAAACAAGGAATCTTCTCAAACAAAAATAACCTATTCGTACTATGCCGTATTTATAACAGACAATATTTTATATATAATGGCAAGTTGCTCAGAATACATCACAAGCTCTAGTTTCCCCTTTAGTTCGAGAATACGGTATCGATCGACCTCTTTCTTATAGGAATATTAAGGTTCTTACTTGAAGAAAAAGCCTGTAGCTATGAAGTTTTGTTTTAACACTAAAAATTCATGATAATCTTTAACATAAACGACTAGTCGTTCGTCGGCCTCCCTCCGGTCGGCCACTCACGGCTAGCCGTTCCCATATTTTACCAGATAACGAGTGAGTTTTCGAGCGACAATACGTGCATTTGTCCATCTATTCATATTTATATTTCCTTCATCAATTAATTTGTTCTCTCTTTCGAAAGAGAAAGCTCTTACAAACATAAACTGTCTGTTTACTTGTATATTCGCATGATCAAAAGAATATCTGAGAGCAAAGTATCAAAACCTAATAGTACCTCATCTTTCTGTTATAAATTTATCGAAAGGTTATTGGAATCAAAACACAGGAGTCTGCTGTTAGATTTTGCAAGCTGTATACATTTCAAGAAAAGTAGAGCCACAGAACATTAGTTTTATGTGGGAGAACCGAACTATTTCTTCAACGCACGTCACTTGTCGATGTATTTACTCATTGAAATTTGAACTGAATTAAAATATTTCGCCATTAACAGATAATTCAAACGTTCTTTTCTGCTCAAATGAGCGTACTAATCAGTACATTCTTCCCCCATTTTACATAATCTCGCTCACCGCAATTACTAATAGGGTACAACGACAGAGACACAAATGTCTTTCAGCTGTTCCGAAATTTCTCTCGAATCTATTGTATTCTAAGTTAATACGAAACCATTAATTTGCATAACTTTGCAAAAACTGACTTCAGATTCGTGTTCATTAGTCCCGAAAACCCTTCGCTCAACCCTTACGGAAAATTTTTGTTTTGTTAAAAGCATAGTACTTTATCTCAAAAAAAAGAAAGAAAAAAGTCCTGAAAAACTAACATCAGGTTCGGATTCCTCGACTTCGATTACCCTTCGGTCAAACTTTGTTTCGAAATACGATTACTAGATGATCACTATGTAACAAGTGTGTGGACGGACGGACGAACATCAGCTCGACGCATAACTCTCCTTTCAGTAGAGGGAATTATTTAGATATAGATGACATTGTTTGTTAACAAGTAATGAAAATAAAAGAAAGGAATATTCAAATATTTTGATGTATACGATATCTATCAAGATTTCAAGATCTTTGTTCAAAAACAAATCTTTCCATTCGAATAGAAATTTCATCATTAAAGAAAACAACATTTGGACGTTACTAAAATGATATTATTTTACCTAATAAACATCGAATTCAATAACTTTATTTAACAAATCCATTTCTTATTGATTAGTTTGCATCATCACCCTCACCCTGAACGATCACTTGATGCTAATCTTCATTTATTTTCATGTTGTATTAGAAGAGCAAGAGACCATTCGATGAAATCTTAAGAAGATTAAATTATAACGTATGAAATTTTTAATGATTATTCTATTCAAATTATTGATAAAAATTTCTATATAAATGATACTATGTTGTTGTTTTTCTTGTATAAATATTAAAAAAAAATTGACTTATTTGATATTTGATCGATACATAAGGTCGGTATGAATAGTATATTGACAATCTTGAGTTAGTTTTGAATATTTATCTAAAAGATAATGTTCAAATTAGAGATATACAGCGTAAATATTTTTTTGGTACCCTGATCCTATCAGTCTTTTTACCTACACGGTGGATATTACTAGAAAAAGAAGTTATAAATTATTCAGTATGCCATCAGAACAACACGATTTTTTTTCTAAAAATAATATCGAGTATTATGTCACAAAATACGACTGTGTTCACCTTTATTTTACTTTTCTTTCCTCTCCTGTAAAGCACAACGTCGTTCACCTTTATGTTGTTTTTTCTTTCCTGTCAAGAACGAATGCGTTCAACTTTCTATTGATTACATATTTACACGTGTATAAATAGGCAAAAAAACTTTGATAGTTAATCATTATTCTCTCTCGGTAAAATTCAACAATGCTTCAACGTCAATTAGGTAAAAATGGTCCAAAAGTATCAGCTATCGGTTATGGAGCTATGGTTTTATCATCTGGATATGGAGTAAACAAATCTGATGAAGAACGATTCAAAATTCTAGATCATGCAATTAAAATTGGTAGTACTTTCTTTGATACGTCTGATATATATGGTGACAATGAAGATTTATTAGGGAAATATTTTAAGAAATATCCACAACAACGTGCAAAGGTTAATTGAAATATTCTCCTTATTTTCTAATATAAATATCAATATATATTTTCTAGGTATTTCTTGCAAGTAAATTTGCTTGTGTAATTGATCCTGTTACGAAAAGTTATTCTCTTCGTGGTGATGCAAAATATGTTCATGAAGCATGTGAAAGAAGTTTAAAACGACTTGGTATCGATTCAATTGATCTTTATTATGCTCATCGTATTGATAAAACAGTACCAATTGAAGAAACAATGGGAGCTTTAAAAGAACTTGTTCAGCAAGGAAAAATTAAATATATTGGTTTATCTGAATGTTCAAGTGATACATTACGACGAGCCTGTGCTGTTCACCCAGTTTCTTGTGTACAAATTGAATATTCACCATTTAGTTTAGATATCGAAAAAGCAGAAATCGGTCTTTTAAAAACATGTCGAGAACTTGGTGTAGCTATTGTTTGTTATTCACCATTAGGTCGTGGAATGTTAACTGGACAAATTAAGAATCCAGATGATTTTGCTGATGATGATTTTCGACGATTATGTCCACGGTTTTCAAAAGAGAATTTTCCTAAAAATCTTAAATTAGTTGATGATTTAACAGAAATTGCAAAGAAAAAAGGTTGTACACCAGGTCAATTAACATTGGCATGGATTCTTGCTCAAGGCGATGATTTTATTGTTATACCAGGTACAAGTAAAATTAAAAATTTAGATGAAAATATTGCAGCTGCTCAAATTAAATTAACTCGAGAAGAAATTCAAGAAATTCGACATGTTTGTGAAAAAGCTGATGTTGTTGGTGATCGTTATCCAGCATTCATTTCCGACGGTCTATTTGGAGATTCAGCTCCGAAAAAGAATTAATAACAGTTTTCTTTTTAATTTACATTTATTCTAATAAAAACTTTTAATCTTGTGATTCGATTCTGTTTTTGGTTATACTTTTTAATACTTTGTCTTTGAATTGCCTAATTATATTTATAATATAAATGGATATTTACAAGTCTTTTCTCAATTCGATTATAAGTATATATATGGGTATAATGATTATAACAGCGATGTGACACTGTACACTTACAGTATGTTTATTCCCGCATAAGGAGTTCATTTAACGGTTGATTTTTTCACATGTATTGGAAAACTCATCTGTATTCAGTGTTAACAACGTGACTGAATATGAATGATCGAACGAAAAATGTTGATGTTACTTAAAAGAGAGGTCTGAATCAATTCATATAAATATGAATCATTCTTCAATATCTTAAGATTATCATGCAGTAAAAATTTCTGTTTCAGTGCTGAAAGGAAACCGAGAAAAAGGTATTTTTTCAAGCGAATATTTTCTCATAGATGGAGTTTGGGTCGTAGAGTTTATGATAAAAGAATTTGGTCAGAAAAGTTATTTTCATTACAACGAAACGAGAAAGATCAATGTTCTATTTTGTCTGATTTTGCCTAAATGTATTAGATACTCACAGGTAAATAATCTTATACAAAAGCATTGGAAAGATATAAGTATTTGGTGTTACTATATATCGTTAATTGATTAACAACTTAAAGTATCTCAAATATACTTTTAAAAATGAATTTTAGTGTTGAATTATTTTTTAGAGATATTTTCATATTTTTGAATAACGTAGTAATTGTTTATTCGAATATAAATCTATTCGATTCTATTGATATTTGACTAACCGTTACTTGTTGGTTTAAAAATAACTTTTCATCATATCGTTTTATTGCTTCTCGATAAACATTAGCATAATTATTGAATAGATTGACTTTACTATAGAAAATTTTAAAAAAAAATGCTTATAGAATCTCATTATGAAGAAATAATTTTATAAGATTGTTTTCATTGATTATTCTCGAATCAAATTGATATCAGACATATTAGTTTTGTCGTCAATAATTAATGTTTAATATCATTATTTTAAAGACAAACGACAGCAGAATTGTTTATCTATTTATATTAAGGAGTTACTTACTCCATTTAATGAAATCATCCATGAGCCTATTTTTTCTTCAATTTTCATTTTTAGAATAGAAAGTGTATATTGAAAGAAGAGAACAGATTTGTTTATTTCTTGTAAAAGATAATCTATATTAAAATCAATTGATCTTAACATTTGTTATGAAAGATCTAAATTCAAGTCTTATACAATAATCATCGTTTACTTCATTTCACTTTCTTTGTCATTGTTCATAGATAGTTTTTGCAGTATTGTTAAATTGTACTTTGATGTATTTCAATGAGAATAACAACTGAAAGTTTTTAATTGAAATATTCTTTTCTAAAAATCCTATCTAATCTTAATTACAATTTCTTGATAATATTCTCTTCACATATGTTTTGTTTAGAAGAAAGAATCTTTTTTTTTCTATTTATTCTCAAGATTTTATTTGATAACAAACAATTCCTATTGAATATAAACAATAATGAATAAAATTGCATTTATACTCAATATTATTGCATTAGTTATCGATATATGTTCATTTATAATAACATTATTTATAGTTTCCTCTTACTCTGATATTTATTCTCCATTTCAGTCGTTCATTTATAGACTTCATTGCCACTTTCACACGTCATCCTATAGATTATTTCTTCTCATTCACCCTTCCTTTCACTCTGATCCACCCTCAAGAGGTTGATCTCGATCTTTTCAAAGCCTGCATCGCTACTGATTGATTGCATCGATTCCCTGTAGCCACTGCAACACCCATAAATGTATACCACGAGTAGATAATTCTCTTCGAGCGCTCAGACGGCCTTCGCTATCACAGTTAACCTTGATGCTTTCTCCAACGAACATCCACCATCAATAGCCCTCCTAAACCATGTTTTCAGACGTTTTGGTCAATTCGGAAGAAAATGTTTTTTTTTACCTTCGACCCTTGACCTACGACAGACACACACACACAAACGAATTTCCGCTTTTTGACCACTTTTTTCGACATGACCCTCTTTTCAGTCGAGGAAATACCGGAAAAGCAGTTGTTTACATTCATACCGGTGGTACTGGTCTTCTTGCTGAAGATATTCATGGTCAAAAAGGATCAAATATAGTTTACAATGATCTTGATCTTGATCAAATCAATCGTTTACCTGATACTCAATTACATCGAAATGTTGATCTTTGCATAATCAATGCATCACAAATGAATCCTTTGATCAAGAGTGTCATTGTTTGTCCGTCCATCATCTATGGCAGAGGTTCAGGTCTGTTCAAACGTCAAAATATCACATTTATCAAATTGATCGAGATCGCTCTTCAACAAGGAAAGTTACAAATGATTGGATCTGGTGAAGCAACGTGGAATAATATTCATATCGATGATTTAGTTGATGCTTATATGATTCTTTTCAATGAACTTCGGAATGTTTGTCGATCTGATGTCAAACCTAATCGATATTTAACAACGGGATCGGAAGGTTATTATTTTGTTGAAAACGGACGAAACACATGGAAAGAAATGTTCGAAAAACTTTTAGAAATGTTATCTAAGAAAAGATTGATTCAATCATCAAATGTAACAAGTATATTCCCGAGAATGAAATTAATAAAGTTTTTTCTGAAGAATTTGCGTGGTTTTTTGGTTCACAATCAAATGCTACAGCTCAGAAACTACGCAAATTGGGATGGAAACCAAGTCGATCGAGTCTTTTCGACGCTTTCGATCAAGAAATTGATCATTTTCTCAGTGAGAAGAATTCTTTTGTTTTCTCATCAAAATAAAAGAGTAGAGTTTCAGGTGGATTGAAAAAGAAACAATTTGAGAATATGAAATGAGTCTGAATAAACATTGAATAAAATCGATTTTTCGACAAAGAAAAATTCTTTTCATTCGTTTCTTTTGTCTTCATCACATCTGTACTGGAAAAGATTCGTTCTTTTAAAAACATTTCTGAAGAATTGTACATGTATCACTTCATTAACGAAGATAATCTATATGGAAATTACCAATTTTTCTTTTTGACATATCTCTCGACAATAAAATCTTCAAGGATGTGGGTAAGGATAAAATACAAGTAATTCTCTTCATTTTTATATTTACACCTTCAAGATAGTAACACTGTGATTGAGAAAGAAATGAAGCAACGAAAAAATCTTTCTTCGAGATTACGATACAGAAAATGTTCGTTATGATTGAATCATGTTTATTGTGTAGAACTGGTTGTCGAATTGTCGGTCATCTCCCTATCTATGAAAAATGTAATTTGTTGAGGCTTATCTTCACCATACACGATGTCAACATGTATATCTGATTCACGTAGACACGTATTCAATGATGATATGTCAATATATGGATTCCATTCAGTAACAATGAATTGTGCTCGTAATAATTTCGGTAAATGAGTTAAGAGAAATATCATCTGACATGTCTTCTGCACAGTACATGTGAGTTGATCAAGATTTGAAAATACTTCACAGAATTTCAGTTGAATGTCATCATGTCTTAATCTTAAGAAATTCCATAATTTCGTAATATGTAGGTTTCGAATCATTCGCTTCAAATATTGGCATAATTCATCATCATTCAGCGACGAGTTGACTGTGTCAAAAGAAATTGTTAATGAAGATACACGTGGAGTTTCTCTCAAGATTTCCACAAGTACGGATGGACTCTCGAATTTGAAAACGTGTGAAACATCTAAATATTTCACATGAGAGAAATTTTTGACCATTGATAGTATGTCATTCGCTTTCAGAGGTCCCAACATATATTCTCGAACGAAAGACCATCTTTCTGATCTCAGGAAAGAAAATGAAGAGTAGCGTTCATCTGTTTTCATCGAATTCTGATGGATCGTTAATTGTGTGACATTACTAAACATATTTTGGTGGTCAATTGCCAGCTCATGATATCGATTCATACCTGAGTATAATTCGAATGTCGCAAATGCGTAGGGTACGGTACAGATCATTGCTTTATCGCATGATAACATGCTTTCGATGAATCTGCTATGGACGTAGCGCTGAAAGTAATTATGAAATGCTTGTAACCTTTCTTCCACATTTGACTGATACCCTTTGTGGTTAAATTGAAAGCAAAACTGGAAAACCTTCAAATGTGATAAATAAGTGTGAAACAGACGTTCCCATTTCTGACACTCGAAGAGATCATAGATGAAATCAGCAAATAATGTAAGCCGATTTAAATTTGGTGTGTGTGCTATTATCATTTTAATGTCACACACCTTAAACGTAGTCTTGTTAATTACCAAATGTCGAAGAGAGTGAGTAAATTTTTTAAGGTTTATTTTGTCAGATTCCGCTACTTCTCTCGATAAGTAATTGATTTGAAGATATTTTAAAGTGGGTATAGCATTCAATACTTGGATTAATTGCCATGCATTGCAAGTATCAATAGTAAAACTTCTTAGGGATGCAAAGTGTCCTAACAATGTTAAATCCTTTGGTAATCGAGGAAGAGTTATTATTTGTATTATAGAACGATGCAATGAAGAAACTATCTCATCAAGATCAATATTGGAATCTTTTAGATGAAAACATGTCAATGAAGTCATAGAGGCCAGCATTAGCATGAGTATTTCATAACTTAGCTGATTGACGCCGATCAAAGTTAACGATTGTAGACGTGAAAATTCTTCCAGCGCAAACATTCGACGAAATGATTCAATCCGCATACCGGTATCTTTGTTGGATAAGTGCAACGAATAAATGTATTCCTTCATTGTAGGATCAAGTAACATTGCTTCACAAATTTGTTGACATAGTGACGGTGAGAAATTTCGAAAATCGACATATAATGGAGTACGTCGAATGAGTTCGTTGAAACGAGAATTCAATTGATCAAATGAAGAAAAGATTTGTAAAGCATCGAGATATTGGAAACATTCGATTAGAATTTCGTTGGGTAAAACTTCGATGTTAGTCACTGTTTGATTGTCACTCATATTTTTCTTTTGAATTTTTTCAGATTTGTTTATGATTTATATAGTCATCGACGAGCAGTGTCATCAGAAAGGATTTTTCCTTTCTTTCCTTTCTTTCCTTCCTTTATTTCCTATGTGTTGTATTTTTTCCACCATCTCGAATGTTTTCAGGTAAAGATTCAAAGGAGCTTTAATGTATTCCGTCTATGACATGCTGTAAAAACTTGCGATGCATACGTAGGATATCTTAGCGTCCGATTCGACCTTTTCCAGTGCCCATTCGCATGATGATCGGGGTCCACTCGTGATGGCGAGTAGCTCCTTAATTCGACTAATAATATACGTACGTATATCAAATGAAGTACGACGAACAATGCAAGATTTATTTATGAAGATTCGTAATTATAATACCACAGTTGCTGTCAGAATGATTGCTTACAATCAAATGAATTTTCGACCATTTAATGTTACTAATCACACATAAATATTTGCGTCAATAAATAACACATCCCTACATGATATTTTACACCTTTTACTTCTGTCTAAACGTTATTTCTCTTTCGTTGTAAATGAAGCTCATTTGAATACTAAAAAAACAAGAATAACAATAATTTAGTGTATGATACAAAGCGAAGAAATAGTATCACGCACTGAATTCGTTGTTGTTGTTGTATTACTCCTATCAGAATATATTTAGTAGAATGAGTCTCTTTTGAACTAAGTGAAAATGATCTCGGTTTTATCCATTTCTAAGAGATATCTCTTCCCGTATTTTTGATAGTCATTGTAAAGTAAGTTAAAGAGTAAACTCTCGACAGCGTCCTATTAAGAAAGTAGAGAGCTGATATAATCATTTCTTAAAAGACGGCTTCGGTAGCTGAAGTTGTTTATGCAATATCTCATTGGTTAAATTATCTTGTTGGAATACCGATCCTTGTATTTGGTATGATTGGATCTATATTAACTATTGTAGTTTTTGTTAGACAACGAAAATTTTGGCAGAATCCAACAATAAGTTGTTTACTTGTAAGTTCAATTCTTACCTCAATACATTTACCTTCGAGGTTTGGCTAGTTTTGACGAATATGCAAGTACGAGTCATAATGCAGCTTTTCGTCATCGTTGGGCTGTTTGTGGAACATTTCTTTTCTATTTCATTTTATATTCACTAGTTCTTCTTGTTAGTGAACTGGTTAATAATGTTTGTTCCATATCGCATTATAATGTAAGAATAGTGATGAATTATATTCTGCATTCATGGTATTGTTCGAGATGATCGATTTGAAAGACAAATACGTCGAATGTTAATTCCTCACACATTACAGAAAACAAGTCTCCGAAAGTTTGTTGATGGTCTTGTCTTACAAACTCTTCGTTTGTTATTTTTTCACGTTAATTTTGCCGCCAGTTTCTATATTTATGTGTATATATCAAGTGAAGTGCGACGAACACTAAGAGGATTATTCTTTCAAAGTCATGGTTACACTAAAACGGTTCCAATGAGAATGACTGCTACCAATCAAATCATTTTGCAAACATTTGATATTACCAATCACACATAACAAATTCTTGTGTTTAATTCTGTGTAAAATTCATGAATATATCATACTGATGAAGTGAAGTATGATGCTTATGCCTGGATGAAATAACAAAGAAAAACGTTTTATTTTCCAACAGTCGAAAGTAAAGTGAGTCGAAACAACGAGTACTATTTGTTTTCATTTTTCTTTCTTTTTCTTAATGCATAATCGACATAAATGATGCTGTGAAACTTAATATTATCCCTCAAGAACGACTAAAAACAACGTGTCCATTTTTTCAAGAAACATAAAATCGAGAACACCGTTTGTATTAAAATTTGCACGAAGGATGTCAATGGAATCAATTCATCATATTCGTTTTTATCGATTACGCAAGAAATATTACGCATTTACAATTGCTGTGCTATGTTTTCTTGACGTTTGTCAATTTTGTACTCGTGCACACACTCAACATGTTTCAAAATTGTTTCTAACTAATGTATTGTGCTGTGCCAAAAGTGGGCGACAAAAACTCTTTTAACATCGATGTTATATGTGCATCTGTTGGATATTCAAAGAAATCTTAGAAATAATTGGACAAATAGAACTCGAATAGAACAAACGATTGATATCTCGACATTTACGGGAGATCTTCGAAAAGTCTGATGAATATCTTTTAAATCAAATTTGATTAAATTTTTATTTTAGAATGGAATTCTAATTCCGTAAACGAAAGAACCAAAATCTCTTGATGAATTTCTTTAATTTGGGAATACAAATGGTACATCATCATCTCGACCTCCTCCTATAATCCTTGGAGAACAAAATTGACATATTCATTTCCATATCTTTGTCTTTTCAATCTTGTTCCATTATCTCACATATTTTCCTCATCATTTACGCGTATTATCTTTGTTCATCGTCCATTTGAACGTCTTGTATCAGTTTTTAAAGAAAGAATAGCAACACTGAGTAAAGATAAACGTGAACGTGAACCTGAATATGATGCAATACAAATCAAAATCTGTTATCAACGTATGTGGCTTAAAAAACTTCATGAACGTGTTTATAATGATCCATGTCAAGGCAATGTTCCTTCATTTGAAGATTTCATTCGATATATTCTTGTTGATACACAATCATCTGTTGGAATATCTCAAATGGATTTACATTGGCAACCTTATTCATCTATTTGTCAAGTTTGTCAATTGAAATACAATTTTATTGGTCGATATGAAACATTTAATAAGGATTTGTATAATTTATTTCGATACTTCAATCTCTCGAATTGGATTAGTCAAAAGAAATATTCTTCATCTCATCTTATCAAATGGAATTATCAAAAATTTTATTTCAATTTACCAAATAATTTTATTTGTCAACTGATACGTTCATATGAAGAAGATTTTCGTTTCTTTAAATATGAAATAAATGAATTTAGTAATCGAATAGATTTCATGATCATCTAATGCATCCATATCAATATCATAATGGAAATTAAGGTAAAAATTGCTGAGATTCAAATAAATAATGAAGAAAATATCTTATGTGATATAGATCATTTCACTCCTTTCTTTTTTAATTCAGTCATTTTCATTAAATCATTTTCTATACTTTAAATGAATGAAATGAGGAACCTTGTTAACATTACAATGTTAATTAACACAGATGTGATTAATAATGAATTTAGTTTTGTTCTTTCGATGAAATCATCGTTCATACGACAGACTATAATTGGCAAATCTCTTACAACAATCAATAATCGAACTTCTGTTTTTTATTGTTAAATGTGCAAATATTTTCTTGAATACAAAAGCAAAAAAGTATTTATTAATGTTTGAAATGATCGATTTTGATCAATGATCGTTTTCAGTAGCAAATTGTAAAGCATAATGAGCAAGTAAACGAGTTGTATCAACAACAGGTTTTCCAAGATTATTTTCATCGTATACAATGGGTAATTCAGTACATCCAAGAATAATTGCGTCACAATCATATTTTTCAATATCTTTTTGAATATTTTCTACTGTCATTGAATTTATTTTTGATGGAATAATCTCATTTCTTATTAAATTTTCAATTTTATCACAAACATCATCTGTAGGAATAATTGAAAGGATATTTTTTGCTTTTAATACTTCATCATACAATCCTCCTTGCATTGTTTGTTTTGTGCCGAGAACTAAAACTTTCTTATAACCTTTTCTATGACATTCATCAGTGACAATGTCGATTAAACTAATCACAGGTAATGGTGAATTCTGATCAATCATTTCTATTGCATAATGAGGTGTATTTGATGGAATAATGATAAAATCAGCACCAACTTTCGAAAGTAATTCAATTGATTCGCATATTTTTTTGGCTAAATTAATCCAATCTTTTCGATGAATCAAATCATAATATTGATCGTATGAAAATGCATGCATTGTAAATTCCGGATGTTTTTTTGATAAAGTAATTTTTGCTGATTGTGCAACAATTTCATTTGCACATAAACATGCTCCAGCTGTTGTAATATCAACAATTCCAATATGTTTCATTCTCTTTTCTCTCAGAAATATACAATGAAATGTTATTCAAAACTATCTGATGATTATGACAACGAAATATCCAATGAAATAATAATTATTATCAATGTAAGATAAAAACATACATTGTGCTAATGATGTCGCACATGTACAATCTTTACGACGAACGAACTCTAATCACTTATTGTTTCCATTTAATTAGTCTTTGGTGAGGGTGTGCGGGTGCGTAGGTTTATCGATAAAGGTTATGTAAGCACAACGAGAAGGAGAACAGCATCGGCACCAATAAAGTCAGAAGAAGGAACACTAAAGGCACCAGAATTAATGTAACGTTCGGCAATTGTAAGAGATATGTTGATTGCTGCTACAAATATCAAGTGTACGATTAGATCAATAACACGAATGTATGCTAATGATAGAACATGTTTATACATGAGTGCATGGCCAAGAGAGAGAGAGAGAGGTGCGGTTTTCTCTCTCATAGATTCATCTACATGTCATCGTGATCAAAAAGAAAGGTTTCTCTTATTTTTTGCCCTCAATTTTGGTCTCATTCTACTTCAGTAAATAACGTTGCAGAAGAAAATGGAATATATTTCCTATACTGCTGGTTAGTGGTTCACAGAAATCGGTGATTTTGTCTCTCGTCTAACCAGATTGTTATACTTTGAAATTTTTGTCTGACTCTTCTATGTCAGTTCAAACGACTAGCGTACGATTTCTTTTTTCTTTCAGCATGAAAGTCTAGACATGTCTGTTAAAAGGATCGCGTTTATTTTTAGTAGCTCAGATTGACTTCCTTTTAAATACATTCAGACAGTTTTCTTTATGTAGAGAGATGTTCAACAATAGAATAGTCAGATGAAAATCATTATTTACGCGTATTGAAAGATATTCTCAACAATCAGTTAACATATTTATTCTTGAAAGAACATTTCCTAAATCTTACAAATTTAATGTGAACGCACGTTTAATCGCCAAAAATGTTTACTTAAATAGTGAAATTTGAACTACTGTTCCTACTCGTTTTCCTTTTCTTTCTATTCCAAATGTCAATCTACAGTGTGTAAGATGAAAAATTTCATTAATATGTCACGCAGAGTGATTAAACTGAATGGATAACGGAAAATTTACATGGAAAATGTTCTCTTTTTCTATTAAATGATTTATTATCATTTTGCATTTCTTTGTATCGCTTTAATAACTTGTTCGTCTTTTCATTTGAATTTGTGTTTATTGTCTTCGTGAAATTTCTCAATAATGAAGACATATGTCGTTATAAATCTAATCTATTTGATCTATCTCACTGTTCTATTCTCTAAGTTTAACAAGTCTTGGTCCAAAAACAATTCTATTTGAGTATTTAACATATCGAAATCTTCATTTCATAAGAATATGATTTTAATAATGTTATCAATGAAGAAAGATGCAAATCAATTAATCAACGAAAATTTTGCTTTATGATTTGTTGTTGTTTTGAGTTATTTTTATCATTGTGTAAATTTTCATTTTTTAATTAAATCAAATATTTCCTTTCTCATTCACTTTAGGGGAATTTTTATTATTATCAAATCGTTTTCGTCAAATATTGAAAAGCAAATTATTGTTTTGAAAAGTGTAGATCATCACTTGAGTAATTGATTATTCATCTCTCAATCTTTCAGAATAATTTTTCTATATTTAATCTTTTTCTTGTTTGACATTCATTTCATGGTAAATATATTTCCTCACCCACATCATTCGATGAAACAGAAAAAATTCTTCATCTTCTTTAAAAGTTATTTCCATATCATCATTACATACAAAGAAGCATCTTGAGACTATACACAC